ATAAGAAGTACACAAAGGCCAGGCGCAGTGGCTCATGCCTATAATCCCAGCACTTTAGGAGGTCAAAGCAGGCAGATCACCTGAAGTCAGGAGTTCAAGACCAGGCTGACCAACATGGAGAAACCCCACTTCCACTAAAAATACAAAATTAGCTGGGCATAGTGGTACATCCCTGTAATACCAGCTACTGGGGAGGCTGAGGCAAGAGAATAGCTTGAACCTGGGAGGCGGAGGTTATGGTGAGCTGAGATTGCGCCACTGTATTCCAGCCTAAGCAACAGAGCAAGAATCTGTCTCAAAAAAATAAATAGAAAACAGCCATGCGTAGTGGCGGACACCTGCAATCCCAGCTACTTGGGAGGCTGAGGTGGGAGAATCATTTGAACCCTGGAGGTGGAGGTTGCAATGAGCTGAGATCGGGCCACTGCACTCCAACCCGGACTACAAAGTGAGACCTTGTTTCAAAACAATAAATAAAATAAAATAAGTTTCTTTTACAGCCAGGGGGTCTCACTGTGTTACCCAGACTAGAGCGATCCTCCCACCTCATCCTCTGGGGTAGCTGGGACCCCAGGTGGACATGCCAGGCTAGGAAGGGGCTTTTTAACATTTATATCCCTCCCCTACCACTTTTGGCTTTCTACCTACAATGAAAGATGGTAGGGACAGCAAAGTGGTGCCACCCAGGTTAGGCCCATCGCTCTGTTCCCCTCCACAGACCATGCCCTTCACAGTACAGTATGCCTGACCCACATGAGCTCCCAGTCACAAAAGGCCCGGGCAAGAGCCAAAGGCCAGCACATGCAACGTCCTAACTGGAAACCCAGTGACCAGCAGCACAGCCGGCACTGCACTACTGGCAAGGAGTGACAGGAAGGCGAGCTGGCGGATCCCATCTCAGCAAAACAAGTGGGAGGGGACCCTGTAAGAGGGCTCAGATGGCCCCTACACCAGAGCTTTCCTAACACTGGGCCTCAACTCAACGCCGCTTACCAGAAGACTTACCTGACTACCTCAGCAAACCAAGAGCTTTCTCTTTCCCTACGGTGGATTCCCACCATACTTCCAGAATTCTGCACAATCCACTCACTCATTGGTTTCTTCCTGGTGAGAGAAACTATTCTCTGCCAAGTGGTTAGCACCCTGAGAGCAGGATGGTGGATTTTTATTTTTCCTTATCCTTCCTGCCACAAGCTCCCGTCTGGGTGTGTCTCTGTTGATTTCTGGCATGTCCCCTCACTGTGCACAGGGGCCAAGATGCCCTATATCCCTGCAGATCACAGGCTAACAGACGGTGCTATGTCTCACTCTTCCCAGCACCGTAACCAGAACATTATGAGAACTCAGAGCACATTAACTGAACATTAATTAAATGAGAAAAAGACTCCCAAGTCCCAATTAATGAGCCACTTAAGGAATACAGGATGTAGCATCGATTCCAACCTGATTCCTGCAGTTGACAGAAACCAACAGGCATCAGCATTTATGACATCCCACTACCTGCCAGCCTGCTCCCAGTCATCTGCACAGGCCGACAATAAGCTTCACCCCAAAAAAAAAAAAAAAAAAAAGATATTATGCTTAATAGCAAACACTTTGCCTTCTTCTCCCTAGGGTGGTCTGTCTCCCCACACCCTTTCCTGGAATAGTGTTGTGCAGAATTTACACAGTCAATAAAAGCTTTCTAAAATGAGAAAGCCGTTTTGCATTTTTAATTATGAACAATAAAATTTACACAAGCACACATAACATTTTCATTTTTTTTTTCTTTTCTGTTTAAAATTGCATTTTCTTCTATTTCCATTCACTTCTTTGAGACCCAAAGCCTGCTGCGGTGGTGCCAACCTCATGGCACCTATCCCCTGTACCTCTCTGGGGCGTCTGGGCCTCCTTCCCTCTGGCTTCATCCCTCCTGCTCAAAGCAAGTCTAAGCGTCATCTCCACAATCAGGCCTCGGCTGCCTCTCTCTGGTAGGCTTCCAAATCCTCCGGCCTCATCTCCTTCTTTCTCCCTCTTCCCGGTTTATCTGTATCTGATGTCAGTTATTATGACTCTTCCATCCAAAAAAGGACACCAAGTGATTTTTCTTCCTCCACGAACACTTGCAAAACAGCAGCAAGGGGTCCTGATTCCGTGGGGTGGACCCTGAGGGTGTGGGCCATGAGACATCACCTCTGCTAAGTTAACAGTTCTTTAAACTGACCACTGCAAGGAAATTCAGCTATTGCATAATACTCGATAGGTTAGATCACTTGCTATATGAAGATGAGAAAATAGAGTTGGGCAAATTTAACGCAATTTCCTTTGTTTGCCTGAGCTAGCTCAGACTTGCAAGGCCGCGGTGGCAGTTTTCTTTTTCTTGAAGCACAGCTTTAACATCATAAAGAAGGATTTTAAGGGAGTGATCAATCATCCTCATCTGTCCTGACAATATCACTAGCATATGTATTCTGACAGTACCCCAGAACGGTCCTTCTTGAGTTGCACAGTGAAAAATTAAAGGGATTCTTGCAGGAGTATTGAGAATCAGAATCCGCAACGCAGGCTCAGATGTCTCAGTTAAATGAAAGACTTTCTTCAAGGCACAAACAAGAGTAGGAATATTTTGATGGTATAACAGAAACAACGGGCCACTGTTACTGCCTGTTTCCAATGAAATGTCTTTACAGCCTTCTCCGAGTGAAGCCATCTTATTAATTCCAAAAGAAAGGATAGCATCCAAGGAAAATAATTGGTCTTCTTTCCCCTCGCAGAGAAATTCACATGAATGTCTCCAAAAAAAAAAAAAAAAAAAGCTGGAATTCTCCCTGGCCAGCTCTGTCTCCTTTCCGGGCTTCTGCAGTGACAGCTGGAACAGATGGCGTCTGGGCGAGAACACCTTACATCTTAACCCTTATCCTTGATAAGGTCTGATTTTCACTAGCGAGGCTGGAATCCAGGGTCTGGCAGGGTTTCCATCATGAGCACCCACTCACAGGATTGCCAGTCCCATATGATATTTTGCAGTTTGCACACTGGTAAGGCTTATCTTGTTTTGGCCAAAGAATTTTCATCTTTAGACAAACTCTTAACATTTACCTTGTCACATCTCGGTGAAAAGGTAAACATTTTCTCTCATTTGAGAAAAGGATGCTGTACACGACTCTGTCAGACATCCTACATACGATGCAGTCTTTTCACAGGCCATTTTCAAAGACGTGAGAGACATGAGAAGCTCTTAGGACGAACTGATGGTCCACCTGGCCATTCCCTACAGTAAGAATTTTATAGACACATACAGGATAACAGCAAACAACATTTCCAAACGCTCCGGCAGTGTGTAGCAGCAAATGCTAGAAAAAAAAAATAAATAATGGCTCCTCTTCAGTTGTATGCTGTGAATGTAAATTAAGCCGCTACAACGCTCGACATAACCTTTCTGACGCCACAAAAATGAATGAATTATATCCATACACACACAGACACACACCACGCATCACGCAGCACAGCTCATTCTGAAAACTGATTCTGAGCTTAATTCGAAAAACGTGAAATACAACCGGTCCCGTCCACGGCTGGTAATCTGAAGGCTTCTTGGATTTCCAAGCACGTCCACAACACCTCACCCGTTTCCAGTTTCTCAATGTTTCAAATCCAAGGGAGAGAATTTTCCGCACAGAATTCTCTCCTCGGGTCCAAATACCAGACCGACGTCCCCACACGGGGCCGGCGGCGTGGAACCCGCCAGCCCGCCCAGAGCCGCCCGGCGCCGCGGGGAAGACGCAGAGCCGGCGGCCCGGAGCTGCCCGGTGCCCCGGGAGTCGCCGGCCCTCTGCGGCCGCAGGAAGGGGGTTCGCGCGCTCGGCCCACGCCCGGACCCCCGCGCCGCCCGCCAAGCGGTCGGAGGCGCCTCTGCGGCGGCATGACTCAGGACCAACTTTCCAATAACGCCCGGGCCCCCCCCCAGACGGCCCCGGCCGCGCGCTTGGCCACGCAGCCCCCGAGCCGCCCGCCCCTCCGCGCGAAACCCGCGGCCCCGCGGGGCGCCGGGTCCTGAACGCCAGCCTGGGTCACGACCGTGGCGAGGCCTGCGCGCCCCGTTTCCTGAAAAGCTGCGGGCGCCCCGGTCCCCTCGGGCCCCGAGCCCGGCCTCCGGGACAAAGTTTGCCGAAGTTGAGGCGTCCGGGGGCGGGAGGCAGCCGGGCTGTGGCGCGGGGCCGGGCTGAAGCCGCGCCCCGCACTCGCCGCCGGGACGGGCCGGGCCTGCGCCGCGCCCGGCAGCCCCGAGGCCCCCGGGCCCCGCCGCCGAGGGCGCGGGATGGAGGCGCGGGGGATGGAGGCGCCCGGCCGCGCGCCGAGGCCCGCCCGCCCGCCGCGGACCCTTACCTCGCGGTCCGCTGCCGCTCGGCCGGCTCAGGGGCGCCGGGCGCGTCCTCCGCCGCGGTCCGCAGCGTCCTGCTCCCCGGGTTGCCCCATGGCGGGGGGCGGGGAAGAGCCGGCGGCGGCCGCGGCTGCCGCCGGCTGGAAAGTCCCGGCTGGGCTGCAACCCCGGCTCGCGCACGCGGCGGCCGCGCCGCGCTCCCTCGCTCCCTCGCTCCCTCGCGCCCTCACGCAGCCCCGCGCAGGCACTTCCTCTCGCGCGCTGGAAATCCCCGGCGCGCCCGCCGCCCCGCCCCCGCCGCCCGCGCGCGTGGGAGCGGCAGGAGCCCGCGAGCGCCGCCGGCCCCACGCGCCCGCCGGCCCCACGCGCGCGCCCGCGGCCCGTTGCTAAGGGCCCTCGCGCCCGGCGCCCGCCCGCCCGGCCTTAGCAACGGCGGCGCGGCGGAGCGGAGCGGGGCGGGGACGGCTTCGGGCGCCCCCCGCCTCCCTCCCAGCTCTACCGAGCGCCCGCGGGCTTCCTCGCTCCGCGCCGCCCCCGCCGCGCCCCCGAGGCCGCGCGTCCCCGCGGCCCGGCCTCTCTGGGTCAAAAAGCCACGCAGGCCGCGTGGGGGCCGAGAGGGGCCGGCGCCAATCCGCCCCGCGGCCACTTCGCCCGCGCCCCCCACGCCCGCACACGCAGCCCCCGCGTGTACACGCTCGCTTGCCCACCGCCACACTCGACTCTTGCACGAGTCCGACATCCGGCCCTGCGCTCACACTCACACTCCCCTCACTCGGACACGGGCACACACACTCGCCATCACCCATGCGCACTCGCGTCCAGCACTCACCTCCGGCCACGCACCCTCGCGCACACGCAGGTGGGGCTGAGGGTGACTCAGGCCATGGGGCCTCTTTCGCGTGCAGAGGGTAGCGCTCCCACATTAGTTTGCTGGCACTTAACTTTCTCCCACCTGGGTACCCTCCCCCACACTGGAGTGGTGACTTGGTCACGAGAGGACAGGATGGCCAGTTTGCCAAGTGCCCCCAGTGGTCTCGGTGGTCCTGGCTGCCCCTGCACCCCCTACGTCCTCCACCAGGTTGCTGGGGCCTGCGCGTGTCTCCTGAGGCCTCCGCCTTCAGCCCCAGAGGCATCTGTGATGACATCAGTGATTCACACAGTAGGCCAAGGCCCACCAAGGGGGCAACCAGCCTGGCTGGGCCTGGTAAGATGGGAGCGAAGGGAGGGCCTCTTGGAGGCCCTGGGCCCACTGAGTAGTGAGGCCTTCCCTGGAGTTTGCAAGTCAATGGTGAGGAGACAGAAAGGACTTTGCATTTTTCAGCTCTCAAGAAGGCTTATAAAGATCCCCACCCCAGAGCTGAGACCAGCGTGAGCAGTCAAGGCCAGTATGCCTTCTTGTATTGCTCCAGTGACTCATGTGAGTAGAGACAGGAAGTCCAGCATCTCCCCCTGCACCTTCCCCCATAGAATGTTCCAGAACCGCAAATAGTCCAACCTGGCTGCTGGAGCCATTCTCTGGCTCCGTGAGCCCAACAGGTGCTGGTTCTATAGCCACACTTAGCAGGCCACAGTGGCACCCCCACCTGCGCTACAGGCACACTCTTTTAGAGCTGACAGGCCAGCCTTGGCTGTCCCTCACAGGGACCTCTGGACTCCAGCAGTCTCCCAGGCCCCCTTGGTGGACCCCCCCTTGGGAGCCTTGGGTGCCCCTTCCCGCCTGTCAGGAGTTGGGATGTTACTGACTGACCTCAGGCTCAGGGTCCCAACCGCTTCCCATAGCCCAGGCACCACGGCCTCCCATGTCCCCAGCCCTGCTCAGGCTGCAGTCCTGGCACCCTGGGGCCCACTCCGAACTCCTGCCTTATGCTATGTGTTACCTGGGATCTGGTTTAACTTTGCCAAAATCAGGAAAGACTCCCTTCCCCAGGCTGGACTATTTTTGGTTTTTTTAAAAGAAGCAGGATGGGGACTGGGCGCAGGTGGCTCACGCCTGTAATCTCAGCACTTCGGGATGCCCCAGGCAGGCAGGTCACCTGAGGTCAGGAGTTCGAGACCAGCCTGGCCAACCTGACAAAACCCCATCTCTACTAAAAATACAAAAATCAGCCGGGCATGGTAGAATGTGCCTGTAATCCCAGCTTCTTGGGAGGCTGAGGCATGAGAATCACTTGAACCCAGGAGGCCAAGGTTGCAGTGAGCTGAGGTTGCGCCACTACATTCCAGCCTGGACGACAGAGAAAGTCTGTCTTAAAAAAAAAGAAAGGATGATGGTGGCTCATACCTGTGGTCCCAGCGCGTTGGGAGACTGAGGCAGGAGGATCACTTGAGCCCACAAGGTTGAAGCTGCAGTGTGCCATGATGGCACCCCTGCACTCCAGGCTGGTCAATGGAACAAGACCCTGTCTCAAAATAAATGTTTTTTAAAAAACGAAGAAAGCAGAGGGTTCAAAGAGCCATGGGAGGGTTTTCTGCGGCTCCTTGCATTCTCCAGCCCAGTAATAGTAAGCAACGTTCAGAATGAAGTCAGGCACAACCAGGCTGAGCCCTCTGCTGGTGAGACTGGCTCCCTCTCCTTCTCTCCCTCCCCTCCTCCTCCTTCCCTCTCTTCCTCCCCTCCTCCTTCTCTTTGGAGCTCCTCTGCTGTGGGGAATCGAAGAGGGACAGGACAAAGATGTTTGCCCCAAACAGGGTTCCAGTGTTCTCGCTCCTGCAGTTAGAGTCACTGGGCAGCAGTGATGAGCAGGAAGGAGAGCTCTCTCCTCACTTTCCGTCAAAGACAGATCTCGGTTCCCTATGGCAACGTCCAACAACAAACGGACACCATCTTTGGACACATTTCTCCCAGGAGTTGATGTAGCGTTACATGTTCTGCTTGCTGCATTGCTGGGAGAAGTGCATGTGACTCACAGACGTGCAGCAGCTCAGAAGGCCAAGGAGGCTTCGGGGCTAGGAAGGGGTTTTCTTAGACCTCTCCCTGAATGTGATGATCTGTGCCTCAGGTGACACCTTCCCACACAAAAGCCATTGGTCCCTGTGGGTCAACTTGGGCTGAAGGGTGCTGGCAAGTTCTCCCACTCAAATGTGCTACACGTGGCCTGTTGCGGGGGGTGGGGAGGCATTTGATGCGCGGCAGAGTCACAGTTTCACTAATTGTTCCCACAAGTGGCTTCTGAACCTTTGAATGCATTTCACACAGCAGCCAGCTGTTCATAACCTGTCCGTGCGCACACACGTAAGAACAGATCATCTCAAACCTGCGACTACTCGGGTATTTTCTGTTCTGTTTATTTTTTAATGCTGGCCATGACCCTCTAAACTTGCTTTTGATTCATGACCTGAAGTTTGAAAACATCATTTTAGACTGAAAGAGCTGCTGAAGATGTCAAGTGGGGGTTCAGGGAGCTGGGGTGGTCGTGGCGCCAAAATACCTCGCTCTGTCGTGAGTGCACATGGGGCGGCTGGGCTGGGAGGCCCATCTTGTCCTTGAAGTAGACCCCAGCGGACAGAAGAGGACAGAAGGGCAAGCTGCAGGGACCCTTCTCTGACCAGGGATGCCTGGAAACAAATGCAGAGGGAACGGGGCAGGGGGAGGTAAAGAGGGCCTCAGGGTGGGTGTGCAGACCCTCATGGGGGATACTCAAGAGGGAAGGAGAGGGCAATGCTGACAGGGAAGGCGAGAGGCCAGGGTCCCTGGCCACAGAAAACCAGTTCTAGCCATCGAGCTGGCTCACATCTGTAGTCCCAGCACTTTGGGAGGCTGAGGTAGGAGGATCGATTGAGGCCAGGAGTTTGAGACCAGCCTGGGCAACAGCGTGAGACCTCATCTCTACAAATACAAATAAAAATAAGTAATTAGAGGCCAGGCACAATAGTTCACGCCTGTGATCCTAGCGCTGTGGGAGGCCAAGGTGGGCAGATCACTTGAGGTCAGTAGTTTAAAACCAGCCTGGCTAATATGGTGAAACCTCATCTCTACTAAAAATACAAAAAATTTGTCGGGCATGATGGCGTGCGCCTGTAATCCCAGCTACTTGGAAGGCTGAGGCAGGAGAATCACTTGAACCTGGGAGGCAGAGGTTGCAGTGAGCTGAGATTGTGCCACTGCACTCCAGCTTGGATGACAAGAGCCAGATTCTGTCAAAACCAGTTCTGATTTTCTCTGTGGACCACTCAGGGAGATGAAGATATCCCTTTTTTTTTTCTTTTTTGAGATAGGGTCTCACTCTGTCACCCAGGCTGGAGTACAATGGTGCAATCATAGCTCACTGTAGCCTTGACCTCCCAGGCTCAGGCAGTCCTCCCTCCTCAGCCTTCTGAATAGCTGAAAACACAAGCGTGTGTCACCATGCCCAACTAATTTTTTTCCTGCTATGTTGCCCAGGCTGGTCTGGAATTCCTGGGTTCAAACAATCCTCCTGTCTCAGCCTCTCAAAGTGCTAGGATTATAGGCATGAGCCACTGCTCCCAAGCATCCTCATTTTAGGGAGCTCATTCTGGGATTTATATGCACAGATGTGCACACACGCACATACACACACACGCGCACACACACGCACACACACACGCGCACACATCTCTGGCATTTTCCTGAAATCTTTTGGGAGAACATGAATCTTTTTTTTTTTTTTTTGAGACGAAGTCTCTCTTTGGCACCCAGGCTGGAGTGCAATGGCACCATCTCAGCTCACCGCAACCTCGGCCTCCCAGAGAGAACTTGAATCTTGGATGTGGCTGGCTTCCCACAGGCAGCTTTGCCTGGAGCCCCACGCCCACCTCAACCAACCAACCAACCAACCAACCTTCCTCCCTCCTCCCTCCCTCCCTCCCTGAGACAAAGTCTCGCTCTGTTGTCCAGGCTGGAATGCAGTGGCGTGATCTCGGCTCACTGCATCCTCCGCCTCCCAGGTTCAAGCAATTCTCCTGCCTCAGCCTTCTGAGTAGCTGGGATTACAGGTGCCCATCACAACACCTGGCTAATTTTCGTATTTTTGGGTAGAGATGGGGTTTCACCATGTTGGTCAGGCGGACTGCAGGCGATCCACTTGTCTCATCCTCCCAAAGTGCTGGGATTACAGGTGTGAGCCGCCGTACCTGGCTCCACCTCTACTTTTAATGTCTTCTGCAAATAGATCCAATTCCATCCTGCCCCTAAGAAAAAGGCTCTTCTGCTGAAGGCATCATGGGAGACAGGGAAGAGGATTGCGATCAAGTAAA